ATTGATTTTCTAATCTATCTCTTAACAAGAAAGTGAATAAGAGTATTTTTCAAAAAGTCCTTTAATGACTGGTTGACTGCTTTACTCAAAGGCATGTTCAGTGACATGGAAATGTTCTTGTATCCACTCCCTGATTTGTGCTTTTCAGTCACTTTTTCACTGAGTTACTTGGAGTATTTCCCTGTCTTCATGGTGGTTTTGCCGTGATACTGACTACACTCAAAATTTAACTAACCCTTTTTCACAACAGACATTTTGACTTGAGGAGGTTTGCATTTTGAGGTGCTGATAACATTAGCAATGGCTCTGTGTGTCCCATGACAGTGTGACAGTGAGCAAGCACAAACAACACTGTGACCCTGAAGCTGCAGCAGTTTTAACTATGGTGACATATTAAAATGTCTTATTCTGAAAAAAGGCCTATTGGCCGCGCATCGCTGCCAAAAAAAGCCACATTAAATCTTATGTGACTCAATGTTGTAAAACAGTAAAACATGAAAGCTTTCAAGCAGGATGAGTACTTTTTGAAGGCACTGTATGTTGCTGTTTAATATACAGAATATAAAGCAGGATGGTCTACAGAAGCAAACCCACTGGCAGAAACTCTGTCTGTTTTTTTGGGTTTTTTTTTTGCCTCTGCCTCAGTCTGTACTGTTGTTAACGTCAGAGAAAGAAGAAGCACAGATACCAACGATAGATATTGTTAATTATACCTCCAGGGACTTCCCCTGCACTTCACAAGCTTTCCTCTCCTTTCTTTCTCCACTTGAGAATATATTATTTAGTCAAAAATTTTTCCCCCCTTTCCCTCTTTTGCCCTTTTCCTGTCTTACCCTGCAGACAGATTTAATTACATCAGCTTCTTCTGTGTGTGTGTGTGTGTGTTTGTGTGTGCGTGTGGGTGTGCGCGTGTGTGGGTGTGTGTGTGTGTGTGGGGGGGGCTTGTTCCATTGATTTCATGGTCCTGAGTTTGTTTTGGTCAAAGATGAAGAGAGTGGCTGTGCAAGGAAGGTGATAGAGAGCTTATGGGAGCTGATGGGTTGACTATGGATGGATAGGTTTCTCCAGATCCTCTCTTTTAAGACCTGGAATGAAACACTAGGCCATCTTTACCCAGAGCTTCCCCTTACTCATTCACACGGACCAGAGGATGCACAAATATCTACCCACAGACACACACAGGCAATATATTAACGTGCGTGCTGTATAATACACACCACAGCAGCGCCAGATCCTCTCTCAGAGGCATCAATCAGGCGGCGGGGGCTTTCACAGTGAAGCCGAATGACTGTAATGGCCGTCCCAAACGCTCCCACATCCTGGTCCTCTCGCTAACCTTTTCAAGCCACTTAAATGGTGGTCAGCGCTATCACACCCTCAGATAGATTATTCCCTCACTTCAATGGACACTGAGGCCCCATCACTTCAGCCCCCTTTTCACGGCTTTATACCCAATCATTCCACTCCGATCTGCAGCACAGTGATGACGGCTATGCATCAGAGGAGCTAAGTGGATGACACCAGAGGGAGCTGCCACTGTTACCACATCACCATAACCACTATCAGCAGCAGCCGTCTCACTGAGTAATGTAATGTCTGGGAATTGTTATTAGTCAGCTGGGAGACTGTGGATGGCGGTAGCGGCTGGAGTTATACCATATGCTCTAAATGACATTAGACAAGCTGCGTATAATGACACAGTGAAAATTTGCAATGAAGGATAAAATTTGAAAGTAATGAATAACCTTTGTGACCATGACACCGTGTTAGTTTATTAGTGCTCACTCATCATCTGCTAATATCTAACTTTGAGAACAGACATGTTATATGCACACCAGTGTTTGTGTCAGTACAAGCCCAGTGTTGGGAGGTACACTTACTCATGTACTTACAGCTGCGCATGAGTTGTTAGAAGTTCTACCAAAAGATAATTTCACCTCTAAATTTCTCAGGTAGTTTCATTGAAAGAACTGGGTGAGAAACATCCTTTGGAGGGGGCTTGCAAGTCTGGGTCAAAGTGCAAGACTGTATCATAAGTAGTTTTAAAACTTGCTTCACCATACAGCTACAACAGTAAAATGCTACTTATGCCTCATTGCAAAACATTCGAGTAATGCAACATATAATAACAAATCAATCACAGAGGCCATTTTCCTGCAGAAGCAGCACTTTGATTTTTATATTTCTAGACATATTGCTGACAATACTCCTTTGTTTGACCACTGACCACTTTCCAAATTAAACACTTTGCATGATTCTTCTCCATTATACAAAGCTTTACTCCCCAAATATTTCCATCTGGACAGCAACTAACAACATATTTTCATTACATATTAATTCACCAGTTATTTTCTCTATGTATCCTTAGATAAAAGACTATAAATGTTGTGTAATATGCCCATCATATCCTTAAGATAAAGATAAGGTTGTCATCATTTTTTGTCTGTCCCACAGTTCAAAAACAAAAAATATTTTGTTTATTACCAGATAAGAAAAAGAAAAACAGCAAATGACAGATTAATATCAGAGAATCAATTAATTAGATTGTTTCAGCTTCAGGTTTTGACTGACCTCACCCTCATCAGGGTGATAGCTGAGGTTGTGTCTGATTTTTTTGTATATTCTTCAAAAGAACTGAGCACTTTAAGCCCAACAGGGTTAAATAAGAAAGTAGATTTAAAGTTAATTACAAAAATAATAATAACATTGGCCAGCTATATGAGAACTGAGGTCTTTGTCTCGCTTCCTTTTTGTGCATAAGGTAAAAACTGTATTTAAATTTTTTTTTATATATATTTCCTTCCATCAGCTCTGCCATCCTCCCTTCCTTATTTTTCCTTTACCTCCATTATTCTAATTTTCTCTTATGCATTTCATTCTTTATCACTTTTCCTTTACTGATTTTGCTGAGCAAGCACTGGCTCGGTGCCAGAGATTGAATCTTTGAATACTAGACCCGCAGATCATTGCTTGATCTGGAACATTTAAACCACACAGCGGCGGTTTCAGCCTGATCTGACTTGCAAAGGGGAAGGTTTTTTATGGTAGCACCATCTCTAGAAATGGGTGATGTATGGAGGAATGTCAAGAGAGCAGGAAATTTTTTTTTTAATTTCTCCCTTTTGTGGATAAAAAAAAAGATCAAAGAAAGAGAGGAAGAGTTAAAAGCAAAGAGTTTAAGAGACATTGCACTGTCTGCTGAAGGCCAGGATGGTCTCTTACCTCTCATTTGGCAGATGGGCAGTGTCACTCCCTCGCCTTGCTCATTAAGTAATGTTTGGTACAGCATTATCTTGATAAATGTTCCGCTTATACCACAGAATGGGCTGATGAATCAGACACTGTATGGCACTGTATGGACAGCTCTTCACACAGTTAGTGTGATTGCAGTGTGTAACAGAGCAATGATCCAGAGACGGGCTAAGAGAGAGGTCTGACAGGTTATTCCAGACACTATCAATCCAAAGCAGTTTGGCAGTGATGCAGGAAATGAATAACTTGGAGTGTAATCAAAGAGGTTTATATATGTATTTTAAACAGCAAGTGGTTCTCATGTAGTGGGAAACAATTGCCCATGATCCCAGGCTGTCCGAGGAGGTTTGAAGATTTTCAACAGGAAGTCTGCGTTACAAACTGTGCACGTGGAGTTTAGAAGATGTGGCTATTTATCAGCTAACGTGCAATGTACTTTTTGCTTGCTTCCTTAATAAGAAGCAATATCTCCATCTCTATGTAACTCCTCGTCACAACTTGCAAGTCTGTAAGTTATGAGCAGATCAGTCCATAATGGATTTAGTCTGTTCAGACTGTTGCATTTTAATAGTTTTTAAAAGCCCAAAGAGGTAAAAATATATATATATATAATATTGCTCAATAAAGATGCAAAAATGGGAGAAAAGTCAGATATAAAAACTGAATTTGGTGTAGCAAAACTTGGAAGGTGATGGAAAGGTCTGATTGATTTGCATTATGGGAAGTGTAGGATCTTTTTTAATAAAGTTTGTAAAGATTATTTATTTATTTATCTATTTGAGTAATTAATGTGTATGAGGTCAACTGTATATTTGTTTAGAAATTATTGAGCATAGATATTTATAAATATAAGCAAAAACTTTATGTACCACCTAGATGAAAGCAAGCATGTTTGAGAAATAAAGCATACTATACTGGAGAAGTATTGTGCATCATTGATTTTGATGGAAAAAAGAGAAAAGAAAAGAAAAGAAAAGAAGGAAAGGAAAGGAAAATAAAAATAAATCTGATGAGTGAGGAATAAAAGGTTATACAGCCACAGGAGAAAAGGGTATTCATGACCTTTAGGTTTTCTGTTTCGTTGTAAACACAATATCATTACAGAGACTTTGTGTAATATTTAGATTATGTAACAGCTCTAACCACTACAACCATCTGCACTCTCCCAGCTGGCAAATAAAAACCCCAGACTTTACACAAAACTCTTGGTCTTGGCAATCTCAAAGTTCAAAGTTGTAATTACTAACTAAAGATATTTAACTATAACAGCACAATTAATCCAAAAATATTTTCATATGAGGAACTCTTTAGATGGAAAAGTGTAACCAACCTATCTCCACCCACAGGTTTTATTAAAGGGTGAACAAGAGAGAGAGAATAGTATCAGTGCCTACTTCCAATGCAGCAGCCTGCCCCTCTGGTGCAAACACACCACTGCTGCTGGAATTACAAAGGACTGCTTATATGCTCATGCATCAAAACACTGGCTGTGCAGTCGTGAAACCGCCCTGCCCTGCTACTACTACACCTCAGCTCTGCCTTATCTTCTTTTCGAGGACACGGGCGCAGTTTTATTCATAAAGCTGACCTCACAAATCCTTTTGTAGTTTTGTAATGTGGGGCGTGCGTGCCACACAAACTACTAATCCCTGGATCCTCTGAGTAGGACCATGATTTCTGGGACGGTGTTGCCAGGGGGAAGGTGGCGCCTGGGACCTGTTGGAAATGACAGCTGAAGAAGGCGGATTAAAACACAGGGATCACAATAACAGTAAACGTAGAAGATAGCGAAGAAACTCCCTCGCATCACTGTGTAAAGGGTGTGTGTCTGTTTGCGATATTTGACAGCTTTAGCCTGATAGCTAATAATTTGATGCGCGACTCGCAAGCTAACGAGACCCGAGCTGAGTGCATGTGGGTGAACGTATGTGTGCGTGCGTGTGTGTGTATCTATAGATTTTAGTGTGAATGTGTGTGTGTGTGTGTGTGTGTGTGTGTGTGTGTGTGTGTGTGTGTGTGTGTGTGTGTGTGTGTGTGTGTGTGTGTGTGTGTGTGTGGTTGTGTGCGCGGGCGTGTGTCGTTGCACTTGTCTTCACTGTCCCCACCTGTCATGTTAGCTAGCATGCTAATTTGATACAGCTAGTTGGCTAATATCAGCTAATAAAAGAAATTAGCTGACTGTGGGCGAGGCACGTCACCGACCTTATCACTGCAAGTTAAATGGTCTTCTTATACCGACGTACAGCAGTTACAGAAATCTGTCTAATGCAGCCCAGGCTCATTTTTTTTTTTAGTATTTTACGAATTATCTCATTATCTAATGTTAACTGTCAGACAGCAAGATGGCTAATTTGAACGGCTATTAGCTTAGCAGCTAGAAGCAGGGGAGCACGCTCGCTAATTGACCTAGTTTGGTGGGGCAGAGGCCATGTTGTCATTCCACTCGACTGAACTTTGTTTACATTACAACTTCTTGGCTTGTTACTTTTAAGGCATACTATTTCATGCAATTATTTAAACATGTAAACAAATAGCCACTTAATATACTCTGTCTACTTAACAGTACACCATACCAATAATATAATTCCTTTGCACTTAATGTTAAATGCTTCAAGACTAGTCCTGGTATGCAAAACATTACGTAAAGTGCATTATAACCCCTTTCAAAATGCATGACTCGACTAACTCACCCTTTTAGACATGCAGGGATACAAAGCAGGGTAGGAGCCTTTAAGTCTCATTTTGTTAATGTTTTAAAAAAGAAAAAGGCAGCGATCTGTTTGGTTTATAGCTGTGATTCAAATATAAGCATCATTGCAAAAGTCTCATTTAAAAACACTGATTACATGAGGATTACTTTCCTCTGATCCTCTCCCCTTAGGCTGATAAATAGCTCACTTTTGATGATCATAAATTACAAGTTATGTGAACAAACAACTGCTTTGATGTGCAATTTTCTTCATAGTGTCAGAATGTATATATATTTTACAAACAGTCTCATATTGGATTCGACTTGGTTACAGAGAATAGTGGAATAATACACACATGCTCTTATTAGTCAATGTATTTTGGGGCTTTCAGTATTTAGCAATCAAGTCTGTAATTGCTGCCACATCAGCATCACATTTTCTGTTATTAAAATTTAATGTTAGTTGTTCTTTGATGTGATTCTTTACAAGTGTACCTCAAAGTCTCATGATTCACACAATGCTGTTGAAAACAAGGCAAGCATTATAAAGCAATGAAAACAAGAAGGCTCAGTCTAGACACAGGCTGTAACTCACATCCTGTAAACAGTTCAAATGAAAACACATATTTTTTTGTAGTGTAAAACCAGTAGTTATTATTATCTCTGCCAAGGCGGTTTATGTTTTCACCCACGTCTGTTTGTTGGTGGGTTTATTTTGTTTCTTTGTTTCTTTGTAAGCAGGATTACTGGACTGATTTGCACCGAACTTGGTGGAGGGATGGGGCATGGGCCTTCTAGTTGGCACTGTGACAGCATAATTCATACCTCAGGGGACCCATTTTGACCGTGTTAGCCATGAAAATGGGGCCAGACATGTAGGCTAACAACCCTAAAATGATTTCTCTTTTCTTCACCTCACCCTACAGGGTTGTAGAAATGGAGTCCCTGATGAGTGCTGTGGCTCCGCGTTCCCCAGCCCCCACCAAGAAGCTGTCAGAGGTGGACTTCCGATCGGGGGCCACCCTGGAGCAGCTGTCAGCACAGGTGTCTGAGCTGGTTGTACTGGAGCAGGGGGAGTTTGGAGACCAGACCGCCTTAGAGGTTCACACAGCTAAGGACTTCATCTTCAACATGCTCGGTATGTCTGCAGTAACACTGGATAAAACCCCCTGTATCACAGATTACAGATGATCAGTATTGACCTTTGTAGAGTTTATTCTCTCCTTGGACCTATGCATCATAAATTAAATAATACTGAAATTAAATATTTTTTAATTATATTCATTTTGCTGTGGACCATCTGAATGCCCTCAAACCTCACCACTTTAAACACAAACTGTATTGTATTTTGGATATTGAAAGTTAACAGTACGTTACAGTATATATAATATGTTCCATTATAATTTTAATAGAGTGTGGTTTTAATGCAGCATAAGCCTGTGGGACAGTAATTATTTATTGCCTGGAGTTAAAGTTACTATCAATTAACTATTAATATACTTTACAGTAGCTGTGGAGGCAGAGTTACATGGTGGAAGATAAGAGCGTATCCCACTGCACAGCTGATGCTTTGTGTGTATCTATGTGCTTGTGCCATTTACATTATCTTAACAAAGATAAAACTGAACTAGCGAATGATTTTCTTCTGTTGCTGCCTTTTCTCAGCAAGCAAATGTATGTATGTACTTATGTTTATTTACACCAGGGCTTTTTCCCTGAGAGCAATGAGCAATGTTTTCCAGGAACACCTTGCTCCACCCTCACCACTTTCTCACCTGGAAGCTGCCCAGTACAACCACACTCTGATCGGTTGGCTAAAGGGCAGGCCTTAACATGCAGTGAGCTGTGCTAGTACAGAACGTTTTATTTAACAACTTTTTACTGGAACAAATTGTATGGCCAACTCCAAATCATCAAGCTGTTTGTACTAGTTATCTTTCTTTCTCTGTGTGTGTTCAAATATAGTTTCTTGGCTAGAGGAGAGAACTTCAGTTAGTATCCAGTAGAGGATGTGTATGTTTGGGTTGATGAATGTGTATCAAGGGGCTTTAACAATATACTGAAATGAATGAAATGTATGAAATAATGATGCCCAATGTAAACTGATGCCAAAGAGAAGCAAAAGTTCTCATATTGATGAGTCTTGCTTTGCTGAGAGCTCCCTGACCTCCTGCTTTTTATTTTACTCTCCAGAAAAAGTTTGTACTTGATGTAAAGTCCTGGATAGATCCTGTCTGGTGGGATAAGAAATGGTCAACAACCAGCAGAACTGAGCTAACAGAAACATTCAAAGCTACACTGCAGCTTGATAAGAAGTCTTTATCATTTAAAACAGTCGAGATCGTTTGCTCATTTCTGAGACTTTATTCTACTCAACCTGTTGGACCTGAGTGGACATTTTTGTAGACGTGCACATTCCTGACATCAAATTTCATTTAGGCCAAAAGGACAAAGCTGCATGATTTCATTTAAATGGGATGGGACACAGTTCTCTTTAACAGACCCATTTTATGACTCAGGTTGTGAGACAGCAGGTGTGACAGACACGATTAACACAAGACTTAATCTGCATTGAAATGATGGATCAGGTACAATATGTTCAATTTAATCCTCTGACAGACACAGACACGTCGTTTTTTTTTTTTTTTTTTGGTTTTTCTTTCAGGTCTGTTATGGCAAATTAGAGGTTTCTATTTTGTGGCAGTGTGGATGTAACAACTTGTAATATTTGATTCTGAATGTTGGAATTCAAACACATCCATTATATGATTCATACGTTCATTCTGCATGGCTCTGCTGCTGACTTATACTGAGAATGAGTGAGACACAAGGCTGTCTCAATCTGATTGTTGTTTTACTGTCAGCTGTGAGTAAAAAGTGAAGTGTGTTCATCTGTCCAATAGGTGGCACTCTGCCCCCTCCCTGCTGTCTTCTGTCATCCCTGCTCTTTCATGTCGCCGTCAGTCTGTGAGTGGAAAGCTGAAAACGCAGCATGTTCGGTCAGCACCCTGAAAGTTTTGTGTGTTTCTTTTTCAGCTCTTCTCCATCTCACTTTGATTTCTGATTTTACTCCCCAGTTTCACATTTTTGCAAGTCCTCTCTTTCCGTCTCCATTTGTCACACAGTTTTACTATTCCTGTCAAATAAGTAGTGGTTGACAGGCAGCTCATGCTTCTGCTCTGCTTCAGTCTTCTCATCAATCTGAAATAGCTTCATGAAACAGGCTGCCTCCACCCCAGGGAGAAATCACACAAGTCAAAATAGTACCCAGGACTGTTTTTCTTATATTATTGAATCACCACATACAAGCAGAGATTCTTTTTTTCTGTGCAAACTTCTAGCTTTTTTTTTGTTTTGTTTTTTTTAGCTGTTTTTCTGCCTCTCCCTTTGTTCGGATTTCATTTTTCATGATTCGGGTGCACAGCCCTTTGTCTGCTCCCACTCCCTCTTGGTTGAGAATCTCCTGGTAATTTTTTTTTTTTAGTTTTCGAGGCAGCTTCTGCTGGCATAATCACCAGTGGTTTGCTGGTATTTTCATACCCTGTGCCTCACCGCCTGCTGTGACAGCAATGACTGTGAAAAGGAAAAAAAAAAAAAAAAGTTTGGTGCTTTCAACACAGGGAGATGGTTTGTGTTGGAATCTAGAAATATCAAGTCAAGTATGCGGTGGTAGCTGCATTAGCGGCTCTATGCCTCTCATGGCCCTGCGGAGGATGAAAGGCAGTACTGAAAAGCAAATATCATCCTCCTGATGGAGGGGCTTTGTTACAGTTTGCCGGCCTGCTGGAGGAGCCTCGTCACTGCTGCAGGTGCTTGCGTGCGTGTGTGCGTGTGTGTGTGTGTGTGTGTGTGTGTGTGTGGATGCTGAACACGAGTGTCTGTGGCTGTTTTTGCCAGGCTTTTATAAAGTTTGAGCTGCAGAGGGATCCCCACTGGGCTTTGCACACTGTCGGGGAAAAGGAAAGAGAAAAGAGATTAAACTCTCTCTCTCTCTCTCTCACACACACGCACACGCGCGCACACACACATACACACAGTACACCCAGTGAATTTTTTCACACGCTGACAGATCCAAGAAGAGGCTCTTATTTACCCTGCGTTTGAGTAAACACTGTGGTTTGCCTTCAGGCAAGCACGGTGGGGGCTACTGTATATATCTTTTGAAAAACAAAAGTCTGATGAAGGCAGAAATAGATCCGAACTGCCAGTGAAGCAGAGGATCTGATGATAGGCCCAGACGTAGCCTAGACCCAACTTTTCAGATCTTAAAGTTTGTTAGCCGGCTTGAGAGAGTTCAGTTCAGAGTTCCTCCGCTCCCTCATGTCGGTGAGAATTGATACTTTTGATCCAGGTTTAAAGAGTCATGAGCGCTGTTGTGTCTCAGCCCAGATGTTTTTATATTTTTATCTGTGAGACAAGAAAATAACCAGCTGCAGCATTAAGTATTTCACTCAGCTGTCAGATGCAGATAAATGGAAACAGATAGAAAAATACTCCTTTATGATCTGCTACTGAAAAGGTTTCCTTCACCATATCTTCTGTTTGTCCTGCAGTGACCTCCACTTCTTGCCTTCCTGTTGGGTTTCCTTCATCAGCCCCTTTGTTTTCCACTATTCCTCACACTTAAGCCACTTAATGGTATTCACATTCAGGCCTGAACAATGACAAGTGGAGGCGTTTAGAGAGAGAGAGGGAAGGGTGAGTTGGTGTCTTTCAGGTCAGCAGAGGCACCAGTCAAAAGTTCACCTTTAACTGTGATGAAAAATGGAAAAACAAAAAAGTGAAGAACCAAAACAAAGCCTGCCTGTATTTGTGTGTGCATGAGTGATGATAAATGAAAGGCCTGCATATTTATCAGTCCCACTAGAGTCTCAGATTTTTCTGTGGTTGTTGTGGCTCAAAAAGACTTCACAGTTTTTTCCTACCAGAAATAGAGATACAGTCTGCAAACTTTTTTGTGTTATTTCACAATAAATTATCGTCATGATTAATTAAAGTAAGCGATAAAACATTTAAATAACTCACCAGTCATCATTATAGGTTTAATAATGGTATATGAAAGCTTTAGCTGCCTTGGTATAAATCGTATAGACAAATCTGCAAGTTGACACATTTCAGTTGTCTCATGGTGTTTATCCTCATATTGTCCAACCCCTGGTAGGTAAAGCTCCCATAGTGATTAAGAAATTGGACCATTTTTCACTGTAATATTGACAAAATAGCAAGCCTTAGTGTTGGAAAGTGCAGAATTCCTGCAGAGACTGACTTATATTCTGTAGGTTTTGTTTTGCTTTTCACAGTCTTGCAACTATGTCAAAAAAAATAATAATCCACAAGTCAGTCAGAGCAGAGCACTGCAGACTTTAATATTGGGTGCATTTATCTGGCACTAAATTGCTTCTCCCAAAGTTTTCTGACCTTTTCGGTGGCTGCACAACCTCTCATATGATATTATGCATATTTTATTTTGGGTATAAAAAAAATCCCTCTTGGTTAAATTTTAACCATCAGAGTGGCAACTTCATCCCCTTTGGGAAAGCAGCTCACTTAGCCAGGCCTGCTGTTGGCTTTCTGGATCGACACAGCGTCTGGCCGGTCTTTGACTCCAGCCCATTAACGCTAGTGAACTCCTGTGTGACTGATTCACAGCTGGATGCTGTTTCCGCCGCTGTGACTTCCTGCCTCATTTGAGGGCCCCGTACTGATGCTCAGAGTCGAGCAGTAGTTCTTTAGCGGAGGCTTGGATTCAGGGCCAACATGGCTGCTCTGGATGACTAATTCTCTGTTAATGCCAGTTTGGATTTGAGAGTCTGTCTTCATCTGGCAGCCAGGCCAGATTCATGGCACTGCAACAGTAGATGAGTGAAATATTTGATTATTTAGGCTTTGTTTTGTCTTCAGTTTTCATCAGTGCTGATGCACAAGTGCCAAGCAGCACAGATGATTACCATCTTGCCTGCGAAAAATGATGGTCATTGTTGTTCACTGACACCTTTTTTTGGCATTTAGCAGCATTAAATCTTAATTGCTGGCACATCAGTGAATAAGAAGGCAAACACAATTTAGTTGATGTTTAATTAGCTGAGTTCAAAACCTCTGGTAGAGGAGGCTGTGTAACAAATTAACCAACAACTGTCT